AGGGGATGGATAGGCATGAACACAACTACACATTTTTCACATTCCTACTATTAGAGGTGAGAGGGCACCCCTCTACAGTAAGAGGTAGGGCTGTACTACAGCTTTGCTTCTGCTAATAACAGCTGGCCTGCTTTATCGAACTAAAGAAAGCAGTCTGCTGCCTCACAAATGGCTGCCCAAACAATGCTGTCTCAGAGAAAGTGCAACCAGGGTGCTCCTTAGAGACAAGGAAGAGGAAACTTCATCTCCAATACAGTAGTCGTGTTGTCAGGGTAGACCTTGGAAAAAGGCATCATGCTGGGAAAGGTGAAAGGCAGGCGAAAGAAAGGAGAGAGAGGAGGGAGAGAGAGAGGGAGAGAAAGACACCCTCAAGGAGATGGATTGACACAGTGACTCCAATAATTAGCTTGAGCTTGATGGAGATTTTGAAACTGGTGCAGGACAGGGAACATTCTTTTGTTTATGGAGTCATTAGGAGTCATAGGTGACGTAAGGGATCCAAGAACTTTTTCCTAAACATCACCCCTATGCCACAATAGCTCCAGGCAACCCTCTATTTAGGGAGCTCAACACAAAGGCATATGATTTGAATCTACCAGTTGCTCCATAGGATAAAGATGGGCAATCTCCTCCCAAATAATTTACTGCCTCTGAAAACCTGCTTGAGGGTCAGCTATGGTGGAGGGTTCCAATTCAATGGTACTTGACAACAACCCCACCGACATTGTTCTTTTAGGGAGCTCTGGTGGTGAAGTCTATGGAAAGTTGTATTGTGGACAGTTACCATGTGCAGTAGTCACCATGCCAATCCATCTGGTTGAGGGTCTTCTTCTCCTCTCTCCAAGGAATAGCCCCTCCTAGCAACATGTCCAAAGTATGTGAGGCGAAGCTTCATCATTCTCTCCTCCAAAGAGCACTCTGATGCACCCTCTCCAAGATGTATTTGTTTGTTTTTTTGACTGACCATGGGATGTTCAGTGCTCTTCTCCAACACCACAGCTCAAAGGCGCCAATGCTTCTGTCATTTTTATTCGTCGTCCAGCTCTCAGATGCATAGCAAGTGATTGGAAGGAGACTATGGCCTGAATCAGACACAATTTAGTCCTCAAACTGACATCATTACTCCTCAATACTTTGGAGAGGTCCCTAATACAGATTTTCACAGTGCAATGTGTCTCCTTATTTCCTGATTGCTGGTACCAAGGGTGTTAACTGTGGAACCACTCAAGATGAGCCACTTATAGACATGAATGCCCTCAAAGTAGTGCCATGAGGTAAAAGTCGGTACGGAATCTTTTTTTTTTTTCTTTTCGAGAATTTCTAAACTTACTTTTGTATTACTATTTAAGGGAAGTTTGGTGACTTAGTGGTAAGGAGTTGTGCTGCAACCCTGAAGGCATGCAGTTCAAATCCTCCAGCTGTTCTGTGAAAAAAAGATAGGCAATCTCCTGCTATGTGATTAAACTGCCTCTGAAAACCTGCTGGAGGGTCGGCTGTGGGTTGGTTCCAATTTGACACTACACAACAACAACAACAACAACAACAATGACATTTTAGTGTCCTTTAGTCTTTGCTGGGCTCAAGGCAAAGGTAGGTTGTAGGAGTTCTTTTTTAAGAAGGACCACTAATTAATATGAGGAAGAAAAAACAAAGCAGGCACCATGAGGACAGATAAAGAGAGCCCCTGGTTTTCTTCTAATAAGAGATAAACTCCAAAAACAGCACACATCTCACTCTTTGTTATTAGGTGCCAGTGATTTCACTCCTTAGGACCAGTCAATGTACAGCAGAAACAAGACTCTGACCTGTGCCAGCCTCATAATTTCCACAAATAGAAACTGGACATGACCCTCCGACTGGTCATGTAATTGCAGAATTAAATACAGCTCAAGCCAACCCTGTCTTTTTCTTAACCACCTAATTGACCCACATAGTTCAGATACCAAAATTGTACCTTTGCTGAAACATTTCTTGGCGAGAAAAAGTTCTTTATTCTTACGTATATTATAGATTCAGCAGCTGCTACTCTAAGTAGCTCTCATATCAAAATTAGTTGTTCCAACTAAAATGAAAATCCAAGTAAGACATACACCAGATTCCACCAATCAGGACCTTGCAATCTTCTGCCCAGGTTTTTTTGGCCAATGAGCCCACCTGTAGCCTGACTTGTACTCCTTGTTCTCCAACCTCTCACTTTTCATTATTTGTAAAAACAGAATTTTGTTCATGATGTACAGTCATGCCATTTTACCCTCTGTGCACACGTACTCCTCTCCAGATACCCCCTTTCACAACCATAATCCCCTAGCTAAACTCCTTTCTACTCATTTTTCCAGCTTCTACCCAAATGTCACTTCCTCCAGGAAGTGTCTTCTAATTTCTCCAGTTTGTAAAGGTGCAAGCCCAATAAGGGATCTGATAGCACCGTTTGCATACTTCTACCAGAGCTCTAACCACTTTGTCTAGAATAATCCATTATTAACTGCCTGCTGCTACACTCAAGGGTAGACACTGAATTCATCCATGTCTGTAGCCATAGCGCCAAGCGCTCCACTGGATACAAAGCTGGCATTTAGCAAATGCTAGTTAGAAGGAAAAACAAAACGTTTATAAGCAAATCAATTTAAAATGTCACTGCAATAGCTGCTTTTGACATTCTGGCCATGAGCAAATAGGTACACTATGAAAAGTGTAGAGGGAAGTGAGATTCAGAAAAGGAACATAGTGAACATTTATAAATTGGATGCTCTCCCATGACTATATTACTACATATTATTAAGAGGGATACTGGGGAATGAACAACAATAAAAATCCAGGAAACTGAAGGGAAACACTAACCGAGTTTTGTAAGTCTAAATCAGGCCTTCCAATTATTTCTTCCTGGCTCAGTCATGGTCAAGGAAGTGAAACCAGAATAGACCTGGATTTTTAAAATGTGAATGGACCAGAATAATAACTGACTGAGAAAAAGAATTACAAGTTGAAGCCCTGATAGAAACGTTCTCTTTCTTAGAAAACAGAAATAGTATATATCACATGTTACATAGCAACCAAATCTCTTATCTGTGGGAGTTTGAGTAGTCAGAAACAAGGTGCCCCAGTCAAAGATGGCGGCCAACCCCCATGCTTCCATGTTCACCCAAACATCCAACACCATTACACCCTTGAGAGGGCTCACTACACCTCTTCCAAGCATCTTATTCTACAGTTTCTACCCATAATTGTTTTTCCTATTCTGGTTATTGTTCTAGACTAGTAAAACATTTAAAAATTGTGTTTGTTCCTTAGCCATGATTGAACTGGGGAAAACTGTTTAAAGCCCTGCTCCAAATCTGCCTTTTAAAAAACATATGAATTAAGTGGAGTTTCCTCTTTTGTTCTTTTCTAAAAATATTTTATGGTAAAAATATGTTTCTCCCTACGAATCTATCTAAGTAAAGAGAACTAAGATCATCAAATAGACTTTTACTGAAATGGGCTTTTGCTTATTTTGGCTTATTTAAATCCTTTACAAAACTTTAACACTTGCACAATTTTCCATGGTACAGATCAAAACAAAGAACCATAAGCAAAAATTGACTTTGTGGGGAAGAATCTCTTTTTTTTATTCTGTGCAGAATTCAAGTTTACACACAGGAAATCATTTGCAGCGAAGTGGAAGCACTGTTTCCCTTTAAACTATGCTTTGAAGGCGTAGTTCATAGATAATTGCACTACTAACATAATGGCATCAGGTCCACAGAAGAAAGACAATCTCCTCTCATGCAATTTACAACCTCCAAAAACCCACTGGAGATTCAAGTATGAGTTGGTCCCAACACAATAGCAATGAGTTGAGTTTTTTGGGTTTTTTTCTTTGAAAGATTAAGATAGAACCTTCCCATTGCCTAAGTCAAAATAGGCTCATAATTAGTATTTATCCAAGTAAATTGATATATATTGATGATAATTGATAAAGGGGTAAGAAGTTTAAAAAAATTTCCAGATTCCAGACCTTTCCATTCTGCATTTCCAGAAATGTCTAAGCTCTTTCAGTAATAAAATGAGGTGATAAAATGATGAGTATTTTAGATTTAATGTACTTATCATCCTCCAAACTTTGGTATTTAAAATCCACATTTAGTATCCATGACATTATGGACTAATTTGTGATTCTCCTGAGATTTGCTGAACTCTCAATCCTTATACCTGTGCATGTAACCTTGTTTGGCAACAGGGTCTTTGAAGATGTTACTAGCTAACATGAAGTTACATGACAGTAGGGTGTATCCTAACCTTATTGGAGTAGTGTTCATATAAAAGAGAAAAAACACAGGAGGGACAGACAGAGGAGAGACTACTATGCAATGATAAGCAAAAGGAATGTCCAGTGCTACCAGAAGCTGAGAAAAACAATCACAGTCTGAAAAACAAACATGCGCCCACCAACTCCTCACTGCAGACTCTACTCCCCAGAACTGTGAGCCAATACATTTCACTTGCTTAAAGCTACCGACTTAGTGGAGCCGTAGGAAATGAATACAAATGACTTTCTGCATATTGTGCTCCCAGGTATATTGTTACCTACAGTCCTCAAGAGGTGTAAACAATTAACTGCTCAACTGAAAGGGTAAAGGTTGGAGGTTTCAGTCCACCTACCCGTGTCTCAAAAGAAAAACCTGGAAATCGAATTCTGAAAAATCAGTCATTGATAACCTTATGAAACACAACTCTACTCCGACACACATGGGACTCCCATGAACTAGAATCAGCTTGAGGGCAACTTGTTTGGTCTATATTGCTAACTTATTTTGACAGCTCTTCCATTCATACCAAGACTTTGCATATTGTTGAACTCCAATACACATGATTTCAGAGATATTTAATGTTCATTCAGAAAGCAAAAAATGAACACAAATACAGCCTTCCTAAAGACAGAGAAGGTGACTTAATTTCACTCCTTGATGATAGCTTTGCCTTTTGCACCCTCAGCATTCACATGGAATAGCATGGTGGCTTACCTTGTGTTTGGCTTCAAGTTTTCTACCGTGGAGAAGGTTTGATTTGTAATTTGAATAGACTTGTTCTTCCCATTGAACGTTCCATTTTCTCTGGATATAACTTCATATTCTGAAAAGTGAAAACCCAACAGATACTTGCTTTCGTATTCTAATTGAGTTAGCTGCATGTAAAGCTAACAGTGGAATAAAGACACTCTTAGAAAAGTGCACTGTCTAGACTGAAACTCTAGACATGTATTTGATATTCTACATTGGAAGATGCAGGTGAGGATGATGAGCAATGGAGGAAGGCTGCAAAAAACTTTCAATAGTTTCTCATTGAACATTTCTGCAAGTGAAGACCTGGAACCAGTGAAGATGGAACACGCTGACAAATAATTAAAATGCCTGTTATTTTACCAGGTTAGCCAGATAAACATTGTTGGAAAGTCAGTGTTAAAAAATAACCTTATGAGGAGTGTGTCTGAGTAAAAGGCATGTTTTCTGCTCTACAAGGCTTTATAATGTACTTGAGCAAAAGGCTAGGAACACTTAATATATGGTTTTCTGTTAAAATCTTCATAGCAGCAAATAATAGTTAATCAAATAATGACCTATATTTCTCAATACCTCACTATTCTCAACTTTGTTACTGTTATGTCCATTAAGTCAGAACTTACTCATAACTGACTTTCCAGTGGGTTTAAGAGGCTGTAAATTGCTTTGGAGGAGACTGCCCATCTTTATTCCATGGAGCAGCTGGTGGATTTGAACTATGTGCCTTTGGGTTGGCAGTATAGTTCCAAATCTACTAGGTACCAGAGTTCCCTATTTTGAGCTCATTATAGAATTTCTGTACCTATACATAGAGGAGGCTTCCTTGATAATACTTTTTGTACTTGAGGGAAAAAAGTCATGGAGGTCAACATAACTTAAGGCATGTTTCCATGCACTTGAAGAGCTAATTGAGAGAGAGAGAGAGAGAGAGAGAGAGAGAGAGACTTTGAGAAAACAGTTCACAAAGTTAATGACTTTCCCCTGCTTTCATTTAGGTTTTAACTTAATTCATGTGGCATGGTTATATAGAGAACTGAAAAGTAAAGCAAAACACTAACTGACAAACAACATAAAAGTGCTCTCCAAGTCCGCTCCATCAATATGAAGAAATGCATACGGTGATGAGTCGGCTGCAGAGCATTTGGGAAGGTGCTGGGGATTTCTGCTGCCAGCGCTGAGACCAAAGGTATGAGATGGGTATTGGAAATAAAACTACAACAATAAAATAACTGAGAGGGCTATATAACTAATTTTTATTTTGAGAGACTGTTTAAAATTTTTAAAGTTTATTTTATTATTTTGTGTGTGTGTGTACCATCAAATCTGATCTTACTGGTACAGGAAGAGATTGTCCCTTCCTCTCCAGCAGAGCATCTGGTGGATTCAAACTGCATACCTCTGGGATTATAGTGCAGCTTCTTGTCACTAGGCCACCAGAGATCCAGAGAGACATTTTTATAGTATACACTGACTCATGCTTTTTGACATATTTAAGTTTGAAAGGCCAGGTTATTATACAAAACTCAGCATTGTAGGAAAATGGATAATGACCATGACAGACTACGAAGTGGAAAGGGAGGATGACTACATCATTACATAACTGCCAAGCTGCATCATTATGTAATTACCAAATTTGGTCACTGAATAATTGGGAAGGGCCATCATTCCATTAATTGCCAAACCACTGGAAATTATGGGCTGTATAAATTGACACATCACCTTAACCATCCCAGAGTTACTCTCACCTTGAAACTTAACCTTTGTTACTATCAGAGGCCAATTACTAATGTCCAAAATAATCAGAGAGTAGATTTTTTTATCACTGCAGTAAATGCCAAATGTGCAATAATGAAATAGTTGATAACTGAAGATTAGGCGTATTTTAAACAGCACATCAGCAGAGAACTGCCGGAAGTCCAGGCTGGGTTTAGAAGGGGTCGTGGTACTAGGGATATTGTTGCTGATGTTAGATGGAT